CAGAACACTTCTGAGTCTTGTATCCAGCAATCACCCCCATTAAACTATGTACAAGTCATCTTGTAATCTTTAATATTAAGCAGAACAAATGGGAATGTGAGAAGAATCCTATCATGAGTCAGCTTCTTCAGCTCTTCATGCTACTTAGCCCATCCCTGAAGGCAGCACTTGACAGTTAGCCAAAAGAGTCCTGTGTCCCCTACGCAGCTCCTCCTGAATGCCGGTGCTCTCAGCACCATGAGGGAGATGGCTCCTCCATGTAGTGCTGCCATCATAATCACATCACTGGGTGGTTGATTTTCTCCTCCTTATCTGATGAGAAGTAGCTAAGAGTTGGACCCTTTTGGTTCGGCACTCACACTGACACCAGACCTACACACATGACCTGGTCATCTCCCTTTCTCTTGTATTTACCGTGATCTGGCTGCACATAGTCAGGCTTTGTTTCTGGTTCCTGTGTTCCTTTAGTACAAAACTGCCATCTACCCATACCTGCAACAGCAGCTAGTAGCCACATGTATTTCATTAATTCCCCCACCTACTCTCACCTGTGATCGTTTTGAAACTCTGAGCTACCATATTTTTCGTAGGTAAATATTTCAGCATGAATTTCTAAAAGGTAAAGACTATTTTTTTTTTTACATGGGGGTCTCATTATGTTGCCCAGGCTGGTCTCTCAAAGTCCTAGGCTCAAGTGATCCTTCTTCCTCAGCCTCCCAATTAGCTGGGACTACAAGTATATCCCACCCGACCCAGCTTAAAAAGTGAAGATCTTTAAAAGACACAATTACAATATCACCATTGTACTCCCCCCCACCCCCCCAGTTAAATATAATCCTCCGATGCTATCAAATAACTTGTCAGTTTTCAAATTTCTCACTTTATTGTTTTGATATGTGGTTTGTTGCAATCAGGATTCAAACAAGGTCTACATTTGGCTGTTATATCTCTTAAGTCTCTTTTAGTTTCTGGATTCTCCCTCCCTCTTTTGTTATTCCCACATTTATTTGTTGAAGAAACCAGATCATTTTGTCCTGTAGAGTTTTCCCACATTTTAGAATTTTGCTGTTGTCTCTGAGGTATCCCCTAGCAGTCCCTCTGTCCCCTGCATATCAGGGAGTCTAGCAGTTAGATCTAGAGACTTGCTTTGGTTCAGGTTTGGTGTTTTGGCAAGACTGTTTCCTAGGTGCTGGTGTTTTCTTCCATTCAGAGGCTCATAACATCAATGGTCTCTCTTTTTCTGACGGCAGCAGCCACTTTGACCATTGTTTAGATCCATTAGTTCATTAGGGGTTGCAAAATGGTGATGTAATTCTCTCATTCCTTCTTCACTTATTAGCTGAAATACATCTTAAAAACAGGGGCTTTTCCATCATCAGCCATGTAATTACCCTGAGTACAGTCTGTACGGGAAAGGCAGGTTAATCACTTGATTCTTTCCCTTTATTTATCAGTTTCAGGATAATGACATTTTATTGTCCTCTGAAGGTGGCCACTTACTTTCTTTAGGATTGTTAACTGAAGATTTTACATTCCTGATGTGTTTCAGCATGTTTTAGTTCTTATTCTGATTGATGCTCAAATTGTCCTTTTTTGAGTAGGAGTCTCCTCATGTTATCTTCTGAGTCCATTTTTTAAACTTTAACTTTTGAATTGAGGTATAACGTACTTGCTAGTGAGTCGTTTTGACATGACCTCATTAGGCTTTGATAGTTTCCTTTCTCATTTGTCAAAATGTTAAGTTACTCTTATACCTTTCCTACCCCAGGCCTGGAATCAGCCATTTCACAAGTTGTATCTTTTATTTAAATCTTTCACTATAGAAAATTTCAGATATATACGAAAATAGAGGGGCAAGTGTATTGATAGTCAGTTTCAATGGTTACCAACTCATGGCCATCCTTACATCATCTGTACCCCTCCACCCCCTCCCACACCCGATTTGTAGAATGTAGCCTAGCATGTGGATTACTTGGCTTCTTCTTGCTGTTCATCCATGCATTGTTTGTGCACACCGTGCAAAAAGAGTGACGGCAGAGAGCGGGAGGTTGGAAGGAGCATGGGTGGGGAGCTGGCCGCCACAGTTGTAACGTGGCCCTGTGCTTGCTTTGTCCTCTGCAGGCGGTGAACCCAGGCAGATCCCTGTTCTTGCTGTACGCCCTCAAGAGCTCCCCCAGACTTGGTCTGCTGTACCTGTACCTCTTTGACTACACAGACACCTTCCTGCCCTTCATCCACACCATCTGCCCTCTGCAGGAAGACAGCTCTGGGGAGGACATCATCACCAAGCTTCTGGTAGGTCTGCAGAGTGCCTTGAATAGAACATTTGACCGTCCCTCAGTGTGGTGTGGAAATGGAGACATGACCGTAGCCTGTCACGGGAGAGCAGACAACAGCCAGCCTTCATGTGAATTTTGCAGGGAGAGCCCCCTGCAGAAGAAAATAAAGTATGACCTTCCCACTCCCATTTTGTTTCCTGCATTACATAGCAGGAGGGGCTTCCCTGTGGACTTGAAATGTTAAGCAAAGAAAAAAATGTTTTTGTTATAAAAGAAGATAGGTCCGGATTGCCCTAAAGGGTTAGATTTATGGGCCTTCCAGTTTGGGTAATCTGTCTTTTAACAGGACTCCCAAAGCACGATTGCTTGTCCTGCTGAGGCAGGGTTAGTACCTCCGTTGTCCAGCTGTCCGATGGAAGTCAGCTCGTTAGCTGGCGCAGGGCTGTTCGCACGGTGGTTATCCACCATGGGCGCCTTTCTCCAGTTTGACCTGTGGATTCCTTCTGAGTTGTTGGTGGACCGCATTTACTGGGGGTGATTTCTCTGTGTCTAGTAGGTCATTTGAGCGTAATAGCCTTTGTTTTGCTACTCTTGGGGCCAGTCCTTCTGACCTGTTTGTATCAAAAAGTCACACGGATGTAGGAATCTCATATATAATCCATACCTATAAGTATTAAAATGGAATTTCTAAATCTCCAAAGACTTTTTTTAAACAATATAGTTAAACATCTGCCTAACTGACTTCAGCCTTGAATGCGGTTTAAAGCCTACTAATTGGCCCCTTGCACAGTGTGCCTCTAATCACCTAGTTTCCAGTTCTTACTTGCCTCGCCAGACCGGGAGCACAGAGACTCTGACCTTTCCATTTCAACAAGCCCCAAGCCTCTGCCGTTCATCAGGCTATCATTTTTATCTGCTAATATCTGTAATTGAAAAGCTTCCCCCACCACCACCACAAAAAAATCACTTTTTTCGAGGGGAGTGTGTGTGTGCCATTTCCCCACAAACTGTCATCGTTCTAGCACGGCTAAGATGTTGAATTTAGGGAATGGCTTGAGCTACCCATGCAGTGATGGTTAATAATAGATAATAAGTAATAAAACCCTGGTTAATTTAAATTCATTCCAGTCCCATTATTCATACCTCATGCTTAGATTTTTTTGCTTCTGAGCTTCCACCATTATGTGGCAAGCATTCCAATTCAAACTTTTTTAGTAACAGTTATCCAATTTAAGATTAATTTTTATGAGATGAGATGATGGATGGAAATTTCATTTTAGATTGCTGGATATATATATATATATGTGTGTGTATTTTCATAAATGTAAAACTCACTGGGATGATCACAGCATCTTGTGTAAGAGTCAGTCCTCGTTATTTTTTGTGTCTGTGTGTTCTTTTTCAAGGATCTTAGGGAGCCCACGTGGAAGCAGTGGAGAGAATTCCTTGTCAAATACTCCTTCCTTCCATACCAGCTGATTGCTGAATTTGCTTGGGACTGGCTGGAGGTCCATTACTGGACGTCACGGTTTCTCATCGTCAATGCCATGTTACTCTCAGTCCTGGAATTATTCTCCTTTTGGAGAATCTGGTCAAGAAGCGAACTGAAGTAAGTGTGTTTTTATGTCGGAGATGGTTGGAGCAACAGGGGCTGGGAAAGAAATACCTAGTGGGGGAACGGTCCTCTTTGAAATATTTCTCAAACTGGAGAAGGAAATAAATCCTTCGGCTACCAAGACTTCTCAGTCTCTGGTTTGAGAAACAGCACTTAAGCGGAGAATAGGAAAGTTACTTGTGTTTGAAAAGGGAAACATTGCGTGGTGCTCATTGTTAAAGTGTTTCTCTGTATCTTATCTCTATGTAATAATATACAGTTTAATTTGGGGGGCAGGCAACAAAGGATTTTAATAATCAAGGAGTAAGCAAGTGAGAAGAAAAGGGTTCTATATGGAAAATGGCAGTAGGGCAGAGCATAAAGAGATCTGATGGGAATTCTGTAGTCATGAGTTCTAATCCTGATCTGCCACCATCTGGGACAGTAATAACTTCTCTGATTAATGCATAAAATGAGCACGATTAGACTAGACAATCTCTGACTCAGGACTCTTGGTTGCAAGTGACAGAAACCAACCTAAACCGGTTTTACTGAAAAGGAAATGCCTAGTCAAGCTTCAGCGTGGCTGGACCTAGAGACACAAATGCTGTCATTAGGACCGACTCTTTCTCTCCCTCTCACAGTGCTGTTCTGTCCTGTGTCCAGCCTCGGGTAGCTCTCTTCATATGGGGGCTCTGGCCTTGCCAGGCTTCCATCTGAGCAGCTTAGCAAACCTTGTGGAAAGAAAGCACTTCTTTCCCCATAGCACTGGTAACGGTCTCAGGCCTCACATGCCTTTGTCCTGATTGGCCCAGCCTGGGTCATGTGCCCCCCAGATCCATTGCTCCATGCCGGCGTGTGCAAGGCTATTCTTGGCCAGGCTCGAGGCCTGGGCTCACCCCACAGTCAGGGGCTGGCTTCGGCCCTACCCGGACCACATGGAAAAGAATAAGGGAGGGAGAGTCCTCAAAAGAAAACTTAGAAGCTGTTTCTAGAAGGGGATGGCGGCTGAGCAGGTAACACTGCCACCACACCAGCAGCCTTTCCTCTTGACATCCAGTGACTCACGGCCTCATAGATAGTTCCGAGAACCCGACAAACCTCTCTCTCTCATTCGTATTGATTCAGCAAACTCATCTGTTCATGCACAGAACAGGCATATCACTGTACCCCCAGCTCTCTGCTGGATACTACAGATCTTCCGGTAAAAAAGACAGTCTCTGAGGGCCTGTAGCCTAGTAGAGAAAATCTGTATGTTAAAAAAGATGTGTAAGTGAGGTTGGGGCTGGAACAGGGAGGCCTCACTGGGCGTGGGGACCAGGCCATAGTGCCTGAGGAGGGACCCTCTGGGCTGTGTCCTCGGAGTTGAAGATGGGTTGGTCAGGCAAAGCTTTCTCAGGCACTGGGGGCAGAGACAAGGTCTTTGCAGCGCAGGCAGCCACAGTCGAGGCAGTGGGAAAAGGCCCGGGGTCTGTGCGCTCGGGCAGCGTCATTAGAAATGTGTCCCCAGTTCTGCCTCTGAACCGGTTCTCTTCCTTTTTCAGGACTGTGCCTCAGAGGATGTGGAGCCACTTCTGGAAAGTATCAACACAGGGGCTTTTTGTGGCCATGTTCTGGCCCCTCATTCCTCAGTTTGTCTGCAACTGTCTGTTTTACTGGGCCCTGTACTTTAACCCAATTATTAACATTGATCTCGTGGTCAAGGAAGTCCGACGGCTGGAAACTCAGGTGTTGTGACTGGCACTGCCCAGGCTCTGAGAGACTCTTCTAGTCTCCCTGACGTCTGAGCTTTGATGCTTAGGAGGGCTGAGGCAGGGAGCGGACTTCCCGCTTTCTACCCCTAGCAAAGCAAGGTGCTGCTTCGTATGTCAAAGGCTCCAACCAGGTCCTCCCCGCCCTCTGCCTGTGTCAACATGGCAGCGGGACTGACAACCCAGCGTGGGGAGGACAGTCTATTTGGCCGACCCAGGAGCAGCCCTTCCACCCAGCCAACTTCCTCACAGGGACTTGGGAGGCTTAGTCCACGACAGCCGGCAAGACTCAGGGTCCCCAGAGGATGCGGTATGGGCAACATTGGAAGGCCACCACATCGGCAGCCCCCTGCCGCAACCTCAGGAACTGACAGAGGCTCCCAGAGCCTGAGACCAGGCTTGTTGGGGCCAGGCCTGTCCTCTAAGTCAAGTTTAGGAAAACAAGGATAAAATTTCGTCATAGGCATAGACAGTTTCACATAAAAAGTGCAGAGGAAAACCCAAAATTCAATCAACAATTCTGTCTCATTGAAGAGTTGCTAGGTTTCGGAGTAAAGCCTCTAACAGGATTCAGTTTGAGACTAGAATGATGATTAGACTTGTGGTTTCTGGGGTTTTTTGTTTTTTGTTTTTGTTTGTAATCACTGAAAGTCCGGATCCCTGTGTCTGAGCACGGAGACGAGTGGGGTGTGAGGTGTTCATTGGGGCTGATTCTCATCAGCTGCCTCAGTGCTACGTAAACTTGTTTTAGGGTTTGTTTTGTTTTGTTTCTAAGAATTTAATCTGTAAAATAAATTCCAGGATAGTCTTTTTTGTTCAAGGAAACATTTTGTAAATTGACCTCACACTGTATAATCTTTGTTGTCCTGTCCTGATGTACGAAACAGCAAGTATAATTGCACCAAGTGCTGTGATTTTGATTATGGCACGAGATGAACTATGGCCTTTCATTTCCTTCCAGTGTGACAACAGCAGGTGTGAGATGTCATCTCTCTGGAGACTGGCCAGAGATAAGCTTGCATCCAAAGTGTTCTTTTGTGACTCCATGAACCATTCATTAACCCTTTGTATCTTTGAGTGAAGATTTTACTCAAGCTTTGCATCTGAAAGTGAAGAAATTACTTGAAATAAAGATTTTTTTATACAAATAAAACCTCTATATATAGAAAAACTGATTGTTTTAAAAAAAAAATCTGCGTTGCCCAATATAATCTGCTAGCCATGCTCAAGTCCCCCAGCCCGATGGAAGCGTTGAGCCACGGAGCCACCTAAAGGATGTGAAGAGAAAGGAGGGAGAATGTTTTTCTTCCTCCTTGAGTTTGCTTGTCAGGCCCCATGGCTGCGTGGCTTTACCTATTTAATACTCATGACCTGCCAGAGACACTGATGGCACTGTGGGTCTGGGGACACCGCGGTGTTTGTACATCCTGGTCTTGTGCCTTATGGGGTTGCCAGTGTCCTCCTCCTTTCCGGATGAGGAGATGGAGGCTGGCTGGCAAAGGTCACGGCAGTGGTGATGGTTGTCATTGGCGGAGTGGGGCCTGGGCCACCCACAGGCTGCCAGACTCCAGACCAGTGCTGCCCACCCCCACCTGTGGCCTCCCACACTGTCCCTACCTGCTCCCACACCCTGCTTCAAGGATGAGTAATATACCCAGGTCTGCTTGGGGAAGAAGGGCAAGGGAGGCTTGGCTGATGGCAAACAGGCTGGGCTGGACTCGCGCTGCTTCCAGCCAGCAGGAGGGACAGGCACACTCACCCCAGTCAACGACCACAGGCTGCCTCT